CCCCCCCCCCAACGGGAAAATCCTTAAAAAAGGCCCTGGTGTTGCTTCAGTCACCTGCTCGCGGCTCACCCCCCTAAAATTTCTGGCACCACCCCAGTAAAAAATATGAAAATCCGTCTATGCATGGATTTGCTAGCAAAATAGCAGCAATTGATGAACTTGGTGTTATACTAAGATTTACTGAATGTGTAAAGAAACAACGAAAAGTATATATCAATCAGGGTCATTATCTTGATCAATTTCCGATGGGATCTCCAAAGAAAGTAGCTACATGTGCAGACAACATGAAACTTCAGACTGCAGAAAATTTCACAATCCGTTATCAAACTTATGTCACAGAAGTGGTAAAGGACATATGTGACAACTGAATGATACCTTTTGTAAATTTTTTGGCCAGGGGTGGGTATTTATTTTTTAATTGATATTTGAGGTTGGGTAATCAATTTTTTTTACTTTTTAATGGTTGGGTCAGCAAAATTTTTGCTACGAAAAACATTTCTCTTCGGTACCACCCCCCGCCATAAATAATGACCGGTCCCTTACTACAAAACAAATGTGCATGAAGTATTGTCGTCTCCTCAACAGTCTCATGCAATCCGAACCGCTGACGCGAACGTCTTTGTTATAATAATTTCAAACTGATAGGATTTTTGACGATTTTTTTTTAGTTTTAGTTTTAGTAGGATTTTCTCTTTTAATATTAAATAATGAGTTTTAGTTCTTAATTGATAATGCTGCTGTGTTTCTTGCCTTTATGTGAAAAAATGCAATACTGTAATTAAAACTTGAAAAGTGTTATAATAAACTAAACTAAAGTTAATAAACTAAAGTTTATGAATACATACATGTTAAATGTATAGTTACACTATTAGTATTGTATATTATTACATAAGTCCACAAATGTCATAGATTTAAACTTGAATTTGAAATAAAGTTAAATTTCCTGTTCAGATGTGTATTTACTGGCATATTTAGAACTTTTTCAAGGAAATGAGAGCAAATGCTCCTGATCGGGCAGATTTTTATTTGATCGGCAAAAAGTCGTGATTGCAGATTACCATGATCGTCAACGTTGGGAACGTTATTTCGAGCCCTGAAACTAGCATGGTTTACAACTATAGAAACGTACATTTCCACAGGAGGGGTTGTGTTACACACACCAAAATTTGAACTTCTGTTATGTTTAATTTTGTATCTTTAAAGTAGGTGAATAAAATCTACCACAAGGTCTATGTTCTGCTGTAACATAAAGTGCAGGGTACAAATTACAGACAAAAAATCGATTTGCAAACTTTTTTCATGGAGAATTTAAGGAAATTTCACAGAATCTTTTGATATAATAAAATGGAAACACTGACAAATGATTTGCAACATTTGTTGTGAGTGAGTTGTGAATATTTTGAACAAATTTCAACCAAATGTTTCTTTTAAATTTTACATATCCTTTCAGTACAAAAATGCAATAGGGAACAAGTAACAAAACAAAATCTTGTTCAGTTTGCAAAGTTAGTTAAATTAACAGTGCATAACAATTGTAAGAAGGGCATGTTATATAATTTTTTTAAAAGTTGCTTTGCATTTTCCAATTTTTATATGAATTTTACTTGAATTGCAAAACCTGAGAAGACTAAGACTGAAACTGGTATTAATTCATACTCTGGAGCCATTATGTAGGGTTTCAGCTGCAAATTTTAAAGTAAAAGATACTTACTTTACTTGCTTATTGACAATTATACCCAAACCACGTTTTGTTACATTGAATACTCGTCCCGTTTTACCATGGTAAGACTTGTGAGGCATACCCTTCTGTATCGCACCATCACCCTTTGAGAATAGAGATTTGTTTGAGTTATTATCACTGTTGCAATGAAGTTCAATGAAAATAATGGTGAGAAGAGAAACTTTAGTTTCCCATCTGGCCAGGGCAGGGGTTCCATTTCCACTATGGTGTCTGAAAGAATCTAACACAACCCATTATTCCATTATACCTGTTTTAAATATTCATTCAGCCACGTTTCTACAATGTTTTGAATTTTTTGTATGGAGAAAGCCAGAATCATTCTACGTTCAAAAATCAAAACTTGTGACAGAAGTGTCTAGCTTAGAGTTCTGCCACTCTAGGGAAAACGAACAAATTAAAACAACAGCAATTCATACTCTTTCATAAACATTTCAACAATTTTATTTCGATTTTTATGTATTATATTATGAATACATATTTCTTGAACAGTAGATTATTTGAAAACTGTGGATTTTCGTTATTCTTAGTCATAAAGGTCAAATAATGGCAACAAGTAACTAGCAATAATGGAGGAGACACAGGCGGAGGACGGGAAACTAAAGTCTAATTTGGAGTAGCCTAACCAGTTATTGGACAACTTTATAAATGTGTATTATAATTTAGACAGTAATCAGCAAATTAGCCAAATAAATAACAAAGCAAGGCTCAAGATCTGTAACATCTACTTGGAAAATTATACTTGAATATAAATAAGGGGTGAGACGGTCACTAGGAAGTGCCGATTAGCTAATTTGATTAATCGGTGGCAGGGCTCAATATAACGGTTGGCCACCGGCCATTAGCCGAGCAAAATGCTGATATGGTCGTCTACTGATTACTCTGCACGGACATTTTGGCCGACCGTTTTGTCTCATCAATTTGAATATTTCTTCCTTTATTGTTGCAAATCTTTTTCACAAAATCTTTAATACATGCAAACAAAGATTCCATCTGCTAGACAATCACAGAATCTGACTTCGTGCGATTTTTAAAATTTGGACGATTCGAAAAAGGAGA